GATAGATAGATAGATAGATAGATAGATAGATAGATAGATAGATAGGTGGATAGATGGATAGATATAGATGGATGGATGGATGGATGGTGGATAGATAGATGGATAGAGATAGATAGATAGATAGATGATAGATAGATAGATAGATAGATAGATAGATAGATATAGATGGATGGATGGATGGATAGATATAGATGGATGGATAGATAGATAGATAGATAGATAGATAGATAGATAGATAGATATGGATGGATAGATACATGTAGATAAATGGATGGATAGATATAGATGGATGGATGGATGGATGGATAGATAGATAGATGGATGAGGCCTGAGCAGGTTGTCCCTGAGTAGAAAAAGGATTTGGGGGGGAGGGGTTGGGTGACCTCTCCAGCAAGTGATTGTTCCAGTTGTCTGCAGGTTCTGTTCTTCTTGTCTTCCTTTCAGGAAAGGCCTCCTTCACCGCTGGAGGATTCCAAGGCCCCCTGTCCCAACGTCACCACCGAGTTCCTCCTTCCCTTGCCGGAGCTAAGATTTCTCAGCCTCGCCAACAACCAGGTGACTGGGGTCTTCTTTAGATGCTGTTCCAACCCAGGTTGATGTTTTTCTTCTCACCTCAGCTTCCCCCAAAAGCACTAAGCTGACTCTTTGTCCGGGCAAAACCCCTTTTATTAAACAAAGGTGAATTTCTTGCATTCACATTCAGCCAAAGGCCTGGCAAACAGCCTTTCACGGGGGTGATTTAGAGCACAGACCTCATCTAGCATGGAGAGCTGGCAAGTAACTATTTCCAAACGCAGTGCTGACAAGGAAGGACTCGGCACAGAGTCTCTGAGATGCACAGACAGAGGTTCACACAGCTGGAACGAACAAATTGTTTCCTGCCAAAAGCCCCCTCCCCTTTTACCCCTCTTTTCATCCCTATGGGAGGGTCCATTCCCCGTCCACCTGTGGCTTTACTCCCGAGTCTACCCTTATTCCTTAACTGTTCCCTTCTCCTGGCAGCTCTGTGCATGCGCACATTGGGAACAGGCTCCAGCTGCTCTTCTTCCCCACTGATCTCTGACTCCGAAGGCAGCTGATAACTGTCAGACGGCCCTGGCTCCATCTCTGCCTCCGACGCAGAGCCTTCCTCAGCTTCCAAGACTGGCCCAGGTTCTTCCCCAACCTCCTCACGACTGTCCAACTCTGCTGCCAGCTCCGCTAGCCGCCAGCGGGCCGCAGCAGTTTTGCAACCACAAGATGGGCAACAGGGTACCGGGACGTGGCCAAAAACCTGAGTATCTCTGGAGATGCTCCATTATCCAAGTCATGGGTGTCCCAAAGACAGCCGGACTTTCTCTGTTTCCCAAGTATCGTCCACACACTTAGCGAGGGAATGGAAGTCTTATGAAGGAGTTTAGGGTTTTAGTTTCTACTCCTTCCATGTGGGGATTGGCCACAATCGGGGGGTGGGCACGTCTGAGCTCGTGGCGCAGTTGTGGTTTTGTCTGTAGAAAACTTTTGTTGTATTTAAAATAAGTCATGATCCTGAAGGGTCCTTGGTGCTCTCTGAGCTGGGTGGTTTTCTTGCAGACGTTTCATGACCCAACTAGGGAATATCAGTGCTAGAAGGTAGTAGGGTCTACGGAGAGGAGAGGAGGAGGAGGAGGAAGAGGAAGTAGTAGTAGTAATATGGAGTCTGTGGTGCTCTCTGAGCTTGGTGGTTTTCTTGCAGACGTTTAATGACCCAGCGAGGTAACATTATCAGTGGTAGAAGGGAGAAAGGTTTGCAAGAGAGGAGGAGGAGGAGGAGGAAGAGGAGGAAGACTGTGGGGTCTTTGGTGCTCTCTGAGCTTGGTGGTTTTCTTGCAGACGTCTCATGACCCAGCGAGGTAACATCATCAGTGCTAGAAGGGAATGGAGTTTGCAAGGGGGAGGAGGAGGAGCTTGTGGCGCAGTTGTGGTTTTGTCTGTAGGAAACTTTCGTTGTATTTAAAATAAGTCAGGATCCTGAAGGGTCCTTGGTGCTCTCTGAGCTGGGTGGTTTCCTTGCAGACGTTTCATGACCCAACTAGGGAATATCAGTGCTAGAAAGTAGTAGGGTCTACGGAGAGGAGAGGAGGAGGAGGAGGAGGAGGAGGAGGAAGACGAGGAAGAGGAAGTAGTAGTAGTAATATGGAGTCTGTGGTGCTCTCTGAGCTTGGTGGTTTTCTTGCAGACGTTTCATGACCCAGCGAGGTAACATCATCAGTGGTAGAAGGGAGAAAGGTTTGCAAGAGAGGAGGAGGAGGAGGAGGAAGAGGAAGGGGACTGTGGGGTCTTTGGTGCTCTCTGAGCTGGGTGGTTTTCGTGCAGATGTTTCATGACCCAACGAGGGAATATTATCAGTGCTAGAAGGGAATGGAGTTTGCAAGGGGGAGGAGGAGGAGGAAGACGAGGAAGAGGAAGTAGCAGTAGTAATATGGAGTCTGTGGTGCTCTCTGAGCTGGGTGGTTTCCTTGCAGACGTTTCATGACCCAGCGAGATAACACCATCAGTGCTAGAAGGGAGAAAGGTTTGCAAGAGAGAGGAGGAGGAGGAGGAGGAAGAGGAGGAAGACTGTGGGGTCTTTGGTGCTCTCTGAGCTGGGTGGTTTTCGTGCAGACGTTTCATGACCCAACTAGGTAACATCATCAGTGCTAGGAGGGAAAAGGTTTGCAAGAGAGAAGGAGGAGGAGCAGGAGGAGGAGGAGGAAGAAAAGAAGAAGAGGGGGAGGAGAACTATGGAATCCTTGGTGTTCTCTGATCTTGGTGGTTTCCTTGCAGGCGTTTCACGACCCAAACTAGCTAACGCCATCAGTCCAGCTACACCCTCCGCCCGAACAACCAGTCCGTCTTTTGATTTGCAGATTGAAAACGAAGAAGACTTGCTGGCCGTGGCTCTCTTCCCCTCCCTGACGGAGCTCACCTTCTACGGCAACCCGTTCACCACATCCCGAAGCGGTACCGCCGGCCCGGGAGGCCACGGGGTTGGGGGGTGGGGGGCACCTTCCCTGGGGCAAAGGAGGGACCGTCCCTCTTGGCCTTTTTGCCCCCTGAAATGCAGCAAAGAACTATGGGAAATTGAGAGGGGGGGGGGTGATGACCGTGGCACAAAAGCAACAAAGTCACAAAAAGTAGGTAAAGTCCCCTTTAATTCCTCCCACTTGGCCCCCAATGTCCAGTTATCTTCGGCTGGAGAAAAAAAACTCTCCCAAGAACAGTTTTGAAAGGGAAGACATTCAGTCTGAACCCAAAGTAGATCTAAATTATAAATAAAAACCAACGCAAACCACAGCTGCAGCAATGAACGAGACAGGGCAGGATAAGGAATTGCAGACTTCAAAAGATAACAAAACACACACAGTTGGGAGGACGCCAAGACTCAAGATGAGATTTGACTTAAACAAAAATAATGCACACTTTGCTTCCAGCAAGGTGCTGTGGGCAAACACCCTCTTTATCCTGTTTTCCCAGCTGCAGCTAATGAAGGGAATCAGGGCCCTTTCCTCCCCCGTAACCCATGTTGCTCCCTTATCCATTCCTCCCTGCATGTCCTAGGTTGAAGAGCGGGTGGGCCTGGGTCTGCCTCTGAATGCCCAGCCGGACTGTTCCCTTCCCCAGTTTCCTCCACAGCCACCAGAGCCACACTCCCATTCCCTGTCAGCTGTTCCACCTCCCGCTCAGAATCCAATTCCAACAAGGGCATGACAGGGTGCTTCTTAAAATCTGTTCCTTTCCATCTTGGGGAAAGGATGTCCGTCGCAGTACGGGTAGTCTTCGACTTATGACCATAGCTGAGCCCAAAACCTCCATTGCTGAACGAGAAAATGGTTAAAGTTAGTTTTGGCTCCGTATTACGAATTTTCTTTTTTTTTTTGCCACCGTCGTTAAGCGCATCACCGCGGTTCTTAAGTTAATCGCATGGTCGTTAAGCGAATCTGGTTTCCCCATCGCCGGAAGGTCGCAGAAAGGGGATCACGTGACCCTCCACAGGTCAATTGCGGACCCGGCATAAATAGGAGTGTCTGGATTTGGATCGCAGGCTACGATAGTCGCCAGTGTAAAAAAACAGTTCTAAATCACTTTTTCCCCCCGGTGCCACTTGTCATTTCGAACAGTCACTAAAGGAATTTGTTGTAAGTCAAGGACTACCTGCAGTTCTCCCTGGGGTTGTCAGGCGCGTGTGCCAGGTCCACGCATACGAAGGTCCGATTAAACAGAGTTGTTGCTTTAAAAAGCCTATATTCCCATGCTGTTTTGATCAGAATCGAGCTGGAAGGGGCCTTGGAGGTCATCTAGTCCAGCGCGCTGCTCGAGCAGGAGACCCTATATATATATATCCATAAAGACCGCAAGCCCCAGGCAAACTTACCTCACTGCGCATGCGTGCGCCTCCCAG